ACAGCCCCGGACGACGACCGGCGCCGATAAGTACGCCCTCCACAGAGCCGTCTTCAACAACGACCTCAAACTCATCGCTCATTTGTTACGCAATTACGACATTCAACTCAAAGACAGTCACGGTTTGCATCCATTCCTCGGCAGTCGACGAGTCGGCGATTGGCCGCCGAAGACGGCGATGGCTATCACTCGAAGCGATTCCAGTGGTAGTCATCTGTCGGCCAATCGCCGTCTCAATAGACCGTCGACTCGACTCCGCATTCGCAGTCAATACTGACCTCCCGTTCCCCTCTTTAGGCAACTCTCCGCTGCATTTGGCGGTAATGTTGGGCCACAAGGAGTGCATCCAACTCCTCATCGCGCACTCGGCGCCCGTGAAGTGCAAGAACGCGCAGGGATGGAGTCCTTTGGCCGAAGCCATCAGTTATGGCGACCGACAGACGAGTTAGTAGTTCCCGAAGAGTCCCCGAAGTCCTCCTTTCCGTCACTAACTGTTCCGTCTTTCCCTTCAGTCGCGTCTCTACTGCGCAAACTGAAGCGCCAGTCGCGCGAGACGATGGAGTGTCGGCGCCCTAACCTCATCCGCGCGCTCAACACAATGCAGAACTTCAAAATGCAACTCAAATGGGATTTCCAGTCGTGGGGTAAGCCTTGGGCACCGCTATCACGACCACCACTAACCCCCCTCCCCCCAGTGCCGCTCGTGTCGCGCATCCTGCCGTCGGACATCTGTCGCATCCACAAGAAGGGCTCTTCGATCCGATTGGACACGACTTTAGTGGACTTCTCGGACATGAAGTGGGAAAGAGGCGACATTTCGTTCCTCTTTTCCGGCGACGCAAAGCCCTCGCAATCCCTAACAGTCGTCGACAATAAACTCCGTGTCTTTCAACGCGTGCGATACGAGGACTCGGAGGCGGAGGTCGAGGACGAAGTGGATCTTCTCATGTCTTCGGACATTGTCAACGCGCAGATGTCCACCAAATCCATTACCTTCTCGCGCGCGCAGTCGGGCTGGTTGTGGCGCGAGGACCGGTCGGAGCGCGTCGGCACCTTTATGGCCGACTTCTACGCCATCGGCGGTCTGTATCTCGAGTCCCGTAAACGCCGCGAACACCTCTCCGACGAAGACCTCCAGAAGAACAAGGCTTTCATCGACGGCATTACGAAAGGCGGAGGAATGGCGCCGGCAGTTGTCAATGGCGAAGACGACGGCGATGACAACAAGACGGGAGCGGCCGCTCTGAACGGAGGCGCAGAGGCGACTGTCCAGCGCCGCAAATCGCTGACTCCGCCGCCTCCCACGACTGTCACGTGGGACGAGTACATCGACGCCCCGCCCGGACAGCACCGACCGCTCGGAAGAGAACCGCTTTGCAAAGAGACGTCCAAAGCGTTCAAAGCGACGCTCGCGATGGTATGCCTTCTCTCTCTCTCTCTCTTTGCGGCCTTTTGTGACTCCTTTGCCGCCAAACAGAGCCAAGAGTTCCCGATGACTGTCGACTCGTTGCTGAACGTTCTC